TGTATGTTCATATATATATACATATACATATACATATAAATATACATATATATATATATATATAAATATAATTACATATATATACAATATGTAGATAAATATAGAAAAGGGAAATGAAACATATTAATATATATATATATACATATATACATGTATGTAGTTTCTATGAAGAGAAATATATATATATATATATACGTATGTGGAGTTGCTGTAGAATTGGTTATTCGATAGTGCATTTATGCGTAGTTGCGTACAGATATATTTTCGAATAGGGTGGCCACGTTTAATATATATATATTACTGAGCGTCCAGATTAGTGGATGTTTGATAATTATTTGTTCGTTTTAATGCTATTACTTAGGCAGCTGGCGAGACTGAAGGTGTAGGCGACGGTGAAGGGTCGGCGCCTCTGGGTAGTACAATTTGTACTTTGAATTGAAGCTCCCCGTTGGAGAAAAATGTGCTATCAAGTTCCTTCGAGAAGGTTTTGTATTCACCTGTGGCGTTCATCGTTTTGAGTTCGTACATCCAGTCAAATTCGCCAAGATCGTCATCGAATCCAGTATCATTATCAAACATCTCTACTTTGAACTCTTGAATGGAGTTACATCTCACATTCGGGAAGTTCAGAATGTTCTTGACACCCGATTCGAAAATGCAATCTTTGTCATCCTCACCATCGATATACTCGCAATCCTCGGATTGCTGTGATTCGGCTCCATTAAAGATGGGGTTCAGGTACACATATGGCTCTGTAGAAAGAAACAATAAAGTAGACCATCGTTATTTCTTGTGAATTTACTCAACTATTCGAAAATAGATTACGGATATGGAATAAATTGACGTTATCATGATGAAGTTCTACAAATCACCAACGTAGTTTTATCAAACACAGCTCATAGAAGTGTGGACATATGCAGGTCAAGCAATAGCCAATACGCAAATAAGATGCCTGCACGCATAAAGTGTGGACATATGGACAAGTCTAAAGGTAGCTTAATACATACAAGTCCCGATTACCCATGCCAGTCAAACTGATCCGGCAACCTTTTACATAACTTTGATGTAGCTAGCCAATCTTTATACAGAATAGCTAAATAAACACATGCAACTAAACAGGCACGGCGCACAGTACAGA